ACTTTTGTTTTGACGTAAAATGACTTTTACATACATTTTTATATATACAAAATAAATTGATAAAAATTTATTATTTTAATAATTATAAGTATTTGTATTGGAATTGCATACTATGTCACTAGTTTTGTTCAGTAATGTATATTAAACGTCACATTTATTCTGTATTTTTGTACTAAGTCATTCACAATTTTTCTATTATTAATGATTTAAATATAATATTTTAAATAAACATACTAAGAAGACATTCATTTCTTTTCGTAAAAAAATGATCATATTTTATTATTTACATAATAATTATTTACAATTACAATATTTATGAATTATTCACAATTATATTTATTTATTTTTTAACAATTGTTTGTTATTGTTAGTTCCAATCCGTTCCTGGAGCTATGATATATAATAATAAAATTAATTTATTACAAAGTTTGCTGTCAACAAAATACTATTCGATCAAAGGCAAAGTTTATATGCCAATGAAAATTTACGTTATCACTAAATCCAAATTTTTGAAATAAATAAGATTTTTAAAATTCTGATTTTGAGAAGTTCAAACAGTTCTGAAGTTGAAAAAGTTCTGATGTTGAGAAGGTTCTGAGATTCAAAAAATTTTCCCAAAACGCTCATACTTTCTAAAGCCTTTATGCTCATCTCGCTAAATCGCGAGTTGTCGGTGAAGTACTCGAGATAATAGATCAATCCTCTGATTGAACGACACTCCAAATCTAAGAAAAATTCCTAGAAAAGGAATACCATCCATAGAATCCTAAAAAACTAGTGTTGGAAGGAACGTTTACAATAATTCTTCTTAAAAATTATAATTGCCATTAAAACTGGCATGGCTGGAAAATGTCGTCTCAAGTTCCAAGATTATGTTGACACTTGAGCTATGCCAAATTATTTCTAACAAATATACAATTCGAAACGTCTTCTTAAAAACGGCATCATCTTCGCAGCATTACTTTGTATCATCTGTTCAATATTTGAACATGCCATCTTGATACAATAAACATATAATTTTAGAATTAAATAGTAGTTTACAACTACATTGATTAAAGTTAATTAATACACGTAGAATAGTCACTTATATCAAAATTGAAAGCTGTTATTATATTGTCTTTTTGCAGAAAATTTTTTTGTTTGTAACTATTGCATAGAGTCCTACAATAACTGTGTTAATTCATTCCATCACAATGTCACCATTGATCTAATTTTAATAAATTTCGAGATTTTCGAGGAATCATATCATTTAGATTTCGATTGGAAGAAGTATGATTCCTCCTATTATTTTTTGTTCGTTTTTGTCTATTCTGTCTAATGTTACTTTTCCATGGTGATAATATTCTTTTGTCTAATTCCTTTGAGTTATTTATTTATTATTTATTATAAGCAAAATTTTATTAGATAAAACGTTCTTCCTTGTTACAAATACTGAATCTTATAAAATGTTTCTTAATTAAATCCAGTTCATTAAATTCAAAATTTTGATTATTTGAGTTGCTATTCCAAAATTATTTTTGTTTGTTTGTGAGGTTATCCATTTGTCATCAATATGTTGCAATATGAATGTACTTCTGTTTGTGTATTATGATAGAATATAGAATAAGTTTGCCTGTGACAAACACAGTTGGGTTTTTTATAAGATTATTAGAATCGAACGAATATTTCTTATCAATATACCGAAGATCCAAAGATAATCTTGCGCCAATTATTATGTCTATTTCGGACTTATTGAAGTGCGGATCTATTTGCCAATCTTAGTCCAGACGATATTAATTTTTCATTAAATCATTAATTGAAATGACGTTCTTGGTTCATTTCCAATGATTTTAGATAAGATACGAAATGGTATGACGAAAACCACTATATTTTGACGCTATCTCTACTCTGCATGCGCGACTCTCAATTCTCATAACGTGTGTAATCGGTGCAAAGTAAATCAAGTTTTTTTACTATTATTTTTTTACTATTATTAATTACAAAATATGATTGAGAGCGAATCCAATGTCCTGCACTCGTGTTTGAGTCTGTGCTGATTCCTTACGATCATTACTGCTATAGACAAAACTAATTGGAATGATCCTAGTTCTTAGTGGAGCATGCCAATGACCAATAATTTAATCGCGGGCAATATGGTCCAAAGACGATGGACGATGATTTGTACATACAAACATTGCACTGTACAGACAAGTGTCCTTCCTAATAAAGTGTCCTCCAAACAAAGAGCGATGTTAGTACGCAAAGTTATCGGTGCCAGGTGCGACTTAGGATCGTATTAAAATACGAAAACGAAACAAAAGAGTCACTCTTTGTTTAGATTTATTATTTATTAGAAAGAATTTTGACAGGGAACTTTCCCGAACAAGTGTCTGTTTACATTTCACGATAACGTGAATGTAATAAACGCTCGTGAACAATTTTTATTACAAAATCTACAAATATCAAGAAGAATTACAATCTTTCTTGGAAGTTACATCATATTGAAACAGACTTATCTAAAAAGCATGCGAGATTCCGAGCAGTAACAGTGGAAATTCTTGATAAATATTAAGAATACAAACAAATCTACATAGATCAAAAATAACACAGATCTACATAGATCAAAAATAAAATAGACAAGTTAATTATGTATGTAGTCTATTTCATAGAATTTTATATCAAAGCAAAATTTTTAGACAATACATCAGTTTATATTGTTAAACTGCCATTTATTTTTAAAATTCCAGGACAAAGATTATCAAAAAACCATAATATTCAAACTGATTCCAAAAATGTAACAATTATCAAAAATTCAGATTCAAATAATGAAATTATAATTCAAATCTTTACGATATTTACGAAAAAATCATTGGGACAGATAATACAATCGGCAATGATAAAGCAAATCAAGCAACTAAGAAAATGGCTAATTCTTACATCATAATAAACGAATACAAATTACATTTGGATGATCTAATAAAGAAACTAAAAAACAAACTAAACTCCCAATGGGAAGATAAATGGAAACAAAAAGGCTTCTAACCACATCAAAGATATTTCCGACAAGTTCTTCGAGGATCAGAAGATGACCTTTGTGTTGAGAAAAAGAGAACAAGTGGCCATCTCCAGAATAAAAATTGGACATTCCAGGGTCACACACTCCTATAGATTAACAAAAAAGCCAGCTTCTCAATGTGAGGAGTGTGATTCTATAATGTCCATTAAACATTTAATTATATCAAATATAATTTTTTCTGTAATAGTATAAGTAAAAGCTAGAAACTATATTCAAAAACAACAAAAGACAAAGAAAATGCAAGACTTAATTAACTTTATTAAAGATATTAAACTGATAAATCGAATCGAATATAATCATTTCCTATTATTTTACGATGTCGCTTACTTTTAATAACTTTTAGAAAGTGATACGACATAAAATTAATCGGAAATCTAAAATTAAAAAAAAAAAAAAAGAAATATTATAACAGTAGCATCCTATTGCCAAAAAATTGATATTATGCATCAGAAATTATGAAACAAGCCGCATTAGTCGCAACTATACACATCGCAAACCATTCTACAAAAATTAGCTGAATTGAAATATGAAATTTTAACCCATCTATAATACTCATCAGAAATTTCATCAATTATCACTTGTTTCACTATTTACAATTGTTTTTAAAAAATAAAATATTTGATACTCGAGAAATTGTAATCGCAACATTCGAAGAATTTACATTAAAATCATTAAAATCATGAATTTTTATAAAAATGAAATATATTAGTTGGAATCTCAAAAAAGATCATTAAAACAATGACTCATATTTTAAATAAAATAAAAATAAAAATTCGAAAATATATTGCTTTTCTTCTGATTAGTAAAAAGAGCAATTTCATGTGATACGATATAATATATGGGTAGATGAAAATTCATATTATACACTAGAAAGAAATTTTAAAAAACAATTTTCAGTGAACATAAAATTGGCTGAATATATTTGATGATGAATTAATAGAACTACATTTCTTGTCCGTATATCTGAAAAACATATGCATTATTATTATTAATAATTATTATTTAACATCTTTAAAAGAATTAGTTTCTTTTCTTATAGAAATTAATTTAAATTTAATTTAAAGAAGTTAGAGTTATGGTTTATGCATAACGGAGTATTAGCTCATTTTTGTAGTAACATAAAAAAAAATTTTGAATAAAAAATTTAATAACAAATGGATCGCGGAGAATGATGTTATCTAAATCTCTAGAGATAAATCACATCTATATATGGAGATTTTTGTATATAGAACTATCTATAAATTATTTTGATATATAAGATAAAAATCAATAAAAACTTCTCCAAATGAAAATTGAAATATTAAAACGGAAGATTAATAAAAAAAATAAGAAGAATTTTATAACAAGAATGTTATTGTTTATAGAAGAAGAAGGGTATTTCAATATTTCAAATATTTATTATAAGATTTAAAAAGATAAGATTTAAAAGATAAGATAAGATTATGAAATGCTAAAAAATAATATTCGAATTGATTTTTCATTCTTTTTTTTTTAATGAAAAGTAAAATTATTTTATCTATAGAATTTTTATAGAAAAAAAATTTCACATACGAATAGGAGAAAATGCAAAGTGAATAAAATTAAACTAATTTAAATATTAATTACATAATAACTTTTTTGTTACTTGGTCCATTTTATATAATACATGAGAAATTAATCATTAATCTAATGAATATCGCATTTGTATTATAGATAAAAAACAATGTTGCATCACAACAATAACAAGTTATTTGATCTTGAAACTTCGTGAACGAAATACAAGAGAATTGATTTATAATACGAGTATATAAGATTATTTTTGAATGAAAATTTTTAAAAGATTTTTAACAATAAACCAGATGTCTCAAGATTTTTTTCTTTTCTATATTCAAAAGACGTGTTATAAATCAGGCATTCTAAAATTTAATTTTGAGCCAATTTGCCATTATTCTTTTAATTGTGATACGAGTTCTAGATCCATTTCTTATTCCGTTTCTTTTTAGAAGCGTGAAAGGGATGAATATAACTGCCAATGTGTCTCTTAATTGATTTTACAAAAAAACCAAGATCGTCAATCAGAAATGCAGCAACGAAACAAACAACGCGGAGAACAAATTCAACCACTACAAAAGCAATTTAATCAGAACCAAATAAATTCACTTCGATGGCATTTATTCTCATCAACGAAGTGCAATCATCTCAACTGGATTTCCATAATCTCAATAATCCATTTATCGATATCGAACAACATTGGCATTGCAGCAGCAATATGAATACAGTTCAGTGGCTAAGAAAAATTAAATTCCTTCAAATGCATGCCGTTAACCTGTTAATAAATACAGGATCGACATTGAGGATCAAAAAAGTGCAAAGAACGAATCTAACGAATCAGTAGGGACTTTTAACAACATTATAAATATCAGGAAATTTATGCATTTACATCGACTACAAATCTGACCAGGATTGTCGATCAATCCCCTAGCCATTGTTTCTGTCATGCTACAGGAAGAAGGAGAAACGGAGTGCAGTGGCTTCCTTCTGCGAAGAAGTAATGTTGTGGAAAGAGGCAATGGAATGGAAGAGTGGAAAGGTATTCCTCAGTGAAGATGCCTTTCTTTGCTCCGGAGTAATAAACAACATCGAGCCGAATCATCATGCCAATCCGCAAAGAAGATCCCCGTTAATGAGTCTCACTATCACTTTACGCAATACTGTCAGCAATCGATTGATTTCTTCTGAAAAAATGCGCGAAGTGTTTCCGACATAACTACTAGGATTGCATTGCTGAAACTTGTAAACGATGTAACAGAAAACCATATGTTGTTACACATATCTCAGTAAACAGTGAAGAGGAAACATTCCTGTCTACCGCAATCATTCAAATCCACGATAGCAAGGGATATCTATTTACCAACTTTGGACTTCGGACTCACAATCGCATTTCATAACAGAACGTTTCGCGAGAAGATTGGAAGTATCCATAAGGTATTATTAAGATCAATATTTCTATCGCAAGAACGAGCATCCATTTGTGCAAACACACCACATGTGATCACACTCGATTTCTATTCAATATAGAATCTCCAATTTTAAATAATTCGTATCATGCAATAGTGAAGAGAACAAGCTTAACAGAAAGACAAGCAGACCAAAGAGCTGCGGACAATTTTTCACGCATCCGCGAAATCCTCAAACGACACTTTATTAAATGACGTGCTCCTAGTAAGTTCTACCATACAAAAAGAGTTCTACTCCTTTCTGATTGGTTTGCAATCATATATATATATATGTTCTGACTCTCAATATCGCTAAAATATGCTGATTTATTAGCATGATCGTATGTATCAAAAGATCCTTTGACACAAGCATCCTGATCAATCGTTATAACACATTCGTGTTGAATACCATGATATATGTCATTTCTAGTTAGCGAGTTGCAAAGACCATTGCATGAGCAGCACAAAATTTCATGTCGACGACATGTTAATCGAAACGAATATATACGAAGCAACTCCGACATTAAACGAAATCGGGAGTCTATGAAAGGGAGGATTTCAACTTTGATAATGAATGACAAATGATGAGTTATTTATTTCATCGTTACATGACACATCGTAAATGGATGCTATGCGACTGGATAATACAATTAAGACATTAAGTATATATTGGAATACCAGAAAGAACTTTCGCATATGCCATCAAACAATCAATTTCCACAAATCAACTTACAATATGTTTTTCAAAATCGCAACATTGTTTGACTTACTTGGCATACTTGACTTACTCGAACCAATTATTATCAACACTAAATTATTAATATAAACATGGAAACTACAAATAGATTGAGACGAATCTGCCGAGACTTATAATTATTATTCGAATTCAAAATTATTCGATATATCTTTTAACGAGATTGCATGTCGATTTAATTTCACGGATTTTGCGAGCGAAAGGATATACAGTGCTTGTTTACATGCGAATAGTCAATCAACAAGTAATATTGTCACTCATTTAATCTCATCTAAATCGCGAGTTGCTATGCTAAAACCAATAAGGCTACCGTGGCTGGAATTATTTGCTACGCATTTACTTCTTCAAATTATATATATCTCGTTAACGAGACATTCGTTGAATGTGAAATCCGACAAAATTCTTTTTTGGACAGACAAAATTCACATTATACTGGTTCAATTCGATCAAAACGTTTGTTTCGCATCACGTGACCGACATACAATCCGTAACCGGACAACATGAATGACACATCGATTCAAGCGATAATCCTGCCGACTTGATATCGTGTGGGATGATTAGACGATATCAGGAAAAATGATGTCTGATTTTTCAGCTGCAATCGATAGCTGAATTGCGATCAATACATCAATACATTATCTACGCGATCTATTATACTCGACTTTTTCGATAAATTCTCTTCCTTCCATTGCTTTAAGCGCTTTAACAATATATATTCTTCAGTTCGTGCGAAACAGCTTAAAGAAGGAACTGAGTTCTGTAGACTCTTAATCATCTCTTGAATTGCACAAAGTTGAGAAGCGAATTATACTTACTTGCTCTTAAGTCGCTCAACAAGAAATGTATCACGAAATACGAGAATTCGAAGTAACAACTCACATAGTTTTTTTCCTTGCCCTAGACAGAAATAGCAAAGAATATCTATTGTGTTTTCATATAACAAGAGACACGCCATGTTATTGTACAGAACACATCATCTGATCAAATTCGTTTGTAAACCTTCATGTAGATAAAGCACAATCCACGTTGCTATTTTTGGATCATTCACAATAAAAAATTGATAATACATAAATTATGTGTCGTTGTGCCAAATTCACCATCGTTAATTATCGAATGAACGATCTCCCCATAAATCGCGTCATCCATTTCCAATCATTTTTACAATCGGGAGTCGATTTTTGCGGTCATAAAGGAAAAAGTCCATAGTAATCGACAAAGGATAAAGGTTTTTTAACCATGTTCATCTGTTGAGCCGTACATATCGAAGTCCATACATATTCGAGGACATTAACTACGGATGCCTTTTTCGTTCGCGTTATCCTTCGAAAGTTTATTCACTATTAGAAAATAAATTGAGGTTATTTTCAATTCACATTCTCTCCCTCACATTTTAATGATCTAATCGTATTAAAGCTTGCACAATTCTTAATTAGGCGAGACCTTAACGAATATTCCAGATCATTTAAATTTCTTGTAAATTTCGGATGGACGATTAATATCATGGCAACACATATAAAAGTTAAAACAATATTTTTGGAAGTGTTGGCGCGCTGAGTATCTCCAGGAACTAACCATCCGTAAGAAATAGCATTTCAGGATAACGAAATTGTTCTCAATTGAAATCAGTTGTGAGAAAACAATATGTTACCCATATAGTGACTCGTTGACGCATCGTCGCAGTATACCTTGAAACAGACGGACGTATAGTGGCGATGAAAACAACGTGAAGTGAATACAAACGATCTCTAAAAAATTATTATACTCTTATCGATGGAACAACAATCATAGCTTCATAAGCACAAGGTTAGAATTAATCACTACTTCTAAAATTGTAATAAATATAATTGTATATTTAGTAATTAAGATAATTTCGATTGTGTTTCGTTCCAGGCATAACATCTTTTCCTTTAGAAGTCTTCGATATTGTGGAAGGGACAGATATATCCCTGATATATTTATATTTTTTGATTGGTTTTTTCAAAAAATCAAAATCATTAATCAGGGATCAGCAAGACAAGCGAACGAAACGAGTAAAAAAAAAAACAAATTCACTGCGAAAGCAAAATCAAGGAACATTATCACCCGCAAACTCACTTCAACGGCATTTATTTTTCATCAACGAGCAACAATCATCTCAACGAGATTCAGCATTATTAAGTTGAAACTGAATTACTGGTAACACGATAATGTATAATCGGAATGCCCTCGACAAACGGTAAGATTTAAGATTTTTTAAGATTACTATTTTTCATCTTGCTAATTTTCATCTCATACTAAATTTTTTAAATGATTTCAGATACAGAAATCTGGAGATCTATGTGGGTATTTTATTGAATTCTGCGATCGATTCATCTTTTATTAATTCAAAATTTTTTTTTATATTGTCGTAAAAATGTGTTGATGTTCTATTATATATAAAAAAAAACATGATTTTATTAATTTATTATAATATACCTAATTATACATTTAAAATATCTAGCTGTACTGAAAATTGAAAATTAAAATTCAAAATCAAATTTTTTTTTATTGTACACTATTATATTTATCATCACAAGCATAAAAAGTCCCAAAAAAGCCAATTCATGGATCGAATTTAACTGTTGTTACAAAAAAAAATAAGTTTTAAAAGGAATCCTTGAAGTTTTTAAATTTTTAAATTCAATTTTTTTTTCAATATGTTTATTTAAAAATATAACAAAGTAAAAGAATATTTGATTGGAATTATCGAAATTTTATTAATAAAGTTATTAATTACAGAAAATTGCAGATTAGTTTGTGAAAAATATCAGAATACAAGAATAATGGAATAATGGAAAATCTCGCAAAGAAAAAATTTGGTAATTATCTATCGAAATTTCTCTCATATTAATATTTTCTTTTTTGTATGCTAAAATCGCACCTTCTTTTTTTTCAATTAATAAGTTTTTTGTTATGTGTATTATTGTATATTGCTTTTATTAATAAATATTGTGATGAATTAATGTTAAATTAATATTAATTAATCTATTAGATAATTAAGATAATTAAGACATTGTTAAACTTGATTGAAAATAAATGTGGATTGAATTTAATACTACTATTATATGATAAATGGAATTAAAATTATACAGATGAAAATTACTTTTTTGTTCCAACTAAGATTGAAGAAAAAAAAAGAATCTAAGCATAAAGATTGAATTACCTTATCTTAAATAAATATTTTTGCATTAAGAAAAATCTATCGACATTTAAGATGTAAAGAATCAGTTCACATATAAGAATCGTATATTGTTAAACTGATGTTTTAATTTTATTCTTTTTTATAAATGTTAATTAATAATATAACTGATAAAATATTTTTATCAATTTGTTTTCACATATAAGATAAATATCGATTTTTGGATGAAAAATAAAATTTGAATTTTTATATTTCAAGCAATTGTTACGAAGCAATAATTATAGTCTCACGCATAATGAAAAAATCTGCAATTAAAAACAAAATATATCAATTTTATGAATAAATTCTACACGAACAAACACGAAACATTCAATAGACATCAAGGTATCAAGGCTAATTCATGCAATAGTAAAATTCTAATTTGATCACAGTTCTTAAACAACACTTTGCTAAACGATATGCTCTTTATAGACCTCAACATGTAAGAAGAACTCTATTCACTTTTGGTTCGCTTCTAATTGTAAAAATGTATTGATATATATATAGATATTAAATTTTATAGATATAGATATTATTATTTTATAGATATTCATCTATAAAATTCAGTTAATTAAAGATTCTATAGCGCGAACATCCTAATTAATCATTGGAAACATTTTACAATTATGTACTTTTGCATAATCAATTAACAAAAAGCAAATAATTTCTCCGGAAGATTAAGAAATTGTACAAAAATATTTACACTATATATTAACGGGAGCTAACACATATGAAATACTTAGTAGACGAAATCAAGAGAAGAATTTCAACTTCAACGATGGACGATAAACAATTGAATCATTAATCACTTTATTGCACAATAAAATAATCATTACGCACTTGTGATTATAAACGATTAAAAATTCTTGATATATATTGAAATGTTAGACAATTCAAGTATATTTCATTAGATAATCATTTCGATGAATCAAAATTATAAAGTCGTAATATTCTCTCTAAAATGGCAACACTATCTAATCTTCTTAACATACTCCGACTGATCATCATTCATATAAAATTATTGATGCAAATATATGGAAACTGCAGCTAAAATGAATCAATATCTACTTATATACACATTAACTGGATTGATAATTGTGATTATTGTATGATCTCAAAATCATTTAACAATTTTTCAACAAAATTTCGTGTTCATTCAACTTCATGCTTTTTGTGATGAAACAATCAATTGATAAAGAACATCGTCACACATCTAATCACGTCGACGAAATATTCATTCTTTGCACGCAACGTGACATTCGATAAAATTCTGTTTTGGTCTGAATCATTTTATATTGATTCAATTCAGTATCACATACATTTAAAATCTTTGTCTCGCATCGTATAATATAATCCATGATTAATGAGTGGACAACATGAATGGTAATAGTAGGTAACGAAAGTATTCGAATGCTTATATTTACAATCTTTGATGAACGAAATATATATGTTAATGGAACTTGTTTAAGACAATGAGACGTATAGTAAGAGGAAAATCTTAAGATTATGTTAACAAAATTTGAAAATGATTCACCAATTTTTGCAGTAGTATATGTACATATATTACAAACATATTATAACATACAAACATATATTATATAATATATATAATATATATAATATATAATATATTTATTATATATTAAACATGCACCGTTAATAGATTACTAGTTACTATAATTACTATAGTTAGTTATTAAATTAGTTAGTAAATTAATTAATTACTATTTAAAAGACAAAGAATATATAAAAATTGTATGTAATGTTGTATGTATAACATTCATATTTTGCCAATTTTGCTGAATTATATGTGCGAAAAAATAATCTACCTTGTCTTTATTCATTATATTATCTTTATGATAATTCTTGTTTTGACGTATATACAGTTTGGAATTTGTTTTGTATATAATTTAAAACATTTCTAATTTTGAATTAGAAATTATCGTGCATTAAGTCATTATTGCAAAAACATTTTACATTTGCTATATTTGTATAAATCGCTTACTCATTATTTTCGAAAAAATTGAAATTTCTATATAAGAAAAGGTTGATCAATAATCATATTTATTTATTAGGATAATTAAATCCAGAAATATTTTCATTTCTTTTATAGTCATATCAATTTGTTTCACTGACTTCTATTGTTTGTACTTAAAAAACTGAAAACAATATATATTAATTTCTATTACAAATAATTCAAATAAATCATTATTAAGAAACAATTCCAATACATTCTCTGGATCATGCGGTAAGATATTAATATAATATATTAATTAATTAATTTCCTGATACTTTAGTTTTAGTTATGTTATATAATATAATATAAATCTAACAAGACGTATCTTTACTATTACTATTTTTAAATTTTTATTTATAATATCGATATATTTATTCGTATTTATAAATATCAATTTACATCAGAGCATCAATTCTGTTCCCAAAAAAGAATTTTATCATTAATTAATAATAATAATTATAAGTATTATATCATTAAAATTTGGCATCAAATTTAATTGTAGCATTAAAAATAAATTTTTTTTAAATGCTTCATTTCTTTTTTTCTTCTTCTTCAAATTTCATGCTTTTTCAATTGTAATTCAAATTTATTTTTATTAATCCATATTATATTTTTCCAAAATAGTGGTATTTTTATATATTTTTTTCATAAAAGCCAAATTTTTCATAAAAGCCAATTTCTTCATAATTAATTTTAATTTTAATTATTTATAAATAATTTTATAAATAAATGATATTTAATCTAATTTTGTAGAACATTGATTTAACTTCATATAATTTTCTTCTTATTGTTTTTGCTGAAACGTTCATTCTTAAAGTTTTCTAAATCTTTGATGAAATTGATAGATCTTATCAACATTTGTGAACAATTTTTATCAATCTTGATAATCTTGTTATACAAATGTTGTACATCATTTGCTTTCATGACTTCTTAAATTTTTCATAGTAATATGTAATACTTCTTAAAAAATTTTTTCTATAATTTTAGATACATTTTTAAATTATTACATAATGATTCAATTTATCAAAAAATTGTTCAAAAAATTAATAGAATTATATCAGTAAAATTCGTTATTTCAATTTTTTTTCGAATCGATATATGTATAGTTTCTTCAAAATAATTTCGAACATTTATACTTACTTCAGTGCATTTCCATTATTCAAAACAATGTTAAAAATCTTCTTGTGAAACATTGTTCAGAATTCTTGTCATTTCATATTTTATGATTTTATAAAATCCTATTTTTTTACTATATCAATATTTTTTTCTTGTTTTTTCGAGTTTTTTTCAAGCACAAGGAATTTTGCATTTATGAATTATTTTTTAAAAATACAATTTCCAAAAAATGTGACGGCCGAAAGAAATAAGGGCATATGACATTAGAGACATTCATAAACTATTTAAATTCGCAAAATTTAATTTGTTTATAGATAAGACTATAAACTGCATTTATCGATCAAATCGCCAGTGTTGTTGAGATGATGATAAAAAATCTTCTTGAAATGAAATTTTTAAACAAAGTAATATTACGGCCGAAAAAATTAAGTAATAAATTTGACTTGTTTTTTCAACATTTAATTAAATTTCTTTTATTTTTATTTTTTGAGATTATCGTGTATAACTACGATTAATTCAATATTTTTTATTATAGCTGATATTTTTATTAAATGTGATTTATTTTCATAAGAATGTGGACATTCAATTTACTAAATATTCTATATAAGGATAAATAATATGTAGTATAATAAGTAAACAGACTTAAGTGTATAACAATATAATGTTAATTCATTTTTCGATACATATTTTTATTATCTATTATTTTATCATTATCTATTTATTTCTATCTTTTTATTTTTATTTCAAATTAAATTTTACAATTAATTTTCCATCAATAATTACTAAATTTTTTTATGTAGATTTCTGAAATAATTTCATATCATAATGGAGTGTGTTTGATAGTATCATTCATTTTTATTTAAATTTTTTTTTTCTCCACGCATATTTTTTTCTTTTATATTTTTTTATTCTTTTTTTTCTTTGATCAAATTTTCAAAAATCATTATTATCATTCCAAATGATTGATTTTCAAAATAATATGGATTTATTACAATAATTTTTTTGAAATTTTAAAGTTTTTAAGCATTAATTTTTAAAATGCATGGTTTCTCCTATAAAAATTATTTTTATTTATTTGAGATTTCATTTGTTGTAAATATTAGTATA